ACAGGGCAGACCCTACAATGAGAGACTGCGGGTCCTGAACCTGTTCAGCCTTCACAAGTGAAGGCTGAGGGGGGACCTGGTGACAGTCTGTAAACTCACTAGGGGGGACCAGAAGGGTTTGGGAGAGACCTTGTGTTTCCCCTAGTGCCCCCTGGCATAACAAGGAATAATGGCCACAAGTTGTTGGAGAGTAGGTTTAGATTAGACATCCGTAAGAACTACTTCACAGTTAGGGCGGCTAGGATCTGGAACCAACTTCCAAGGGAAGTGGTGCTGGCTCTTACCCTGGGGGTCTTTAAGAGGAGGCTTGATGCCTACCTAGCCAAGATCATTTGAGCCCAGTTTTTTTTCTCCTGCCCTGGCAGGTGGTCGGACTTGAAGATCTGTAAGGTCCCTTCCGACCCTACTTCTATGATTCTATGAAGAATTTGAGTAGTGACTTGCTAGATGTCAATTCAGTGACTCTGCTTTGGAGCAGTTGTCTTGTACAGCTGTCAGCAGCCACTATTCTTTCTTGCCTTATTGGAAGAAGCACATACTTCAACTGGACTGTAAGCACATGCTATAATCCAGCATGTTTTTATATCTGCACTGGGCTTATTTGGCACCTTAAAAAACTAGGCTTGCTATCAATAATAATGCAAGGAAATAGCAGTCCTGCAGAGTGTGATATACTCCCTTATTTCATATAACAGCATAAAGTTCAAAGACTGGCTGTAGTTGCTTTTCTGTATTTTTCTGGGGAACGCATGTATTTTTATTATGTGTATTTTTAAGCTGATAAGTGCAGGAAATCATTATCTGAACCCTTTCCTTCTCCTGCTTTCCCCCCACACTTTTTTTTTCAGTCTGCAGATACTCAATTTGAGTAAATTCAATGACACTTCATACTAGGTTCTGTCAAATTCTTGTACTTTGAGCCTGAAGGGCTGGAGAAGTAGTATTTCAACCAGACCATCTCTGGGGTGAGATTTAGTTACAACATGTTTTGATTGGCTTAAAAAAAACTCCTTCTAACTTTTCAGCCTAACTCTTCAGGTCAACAGTGGCCCATGTACACATTGGTACAGTTGAGTATCACAGACCACATCAACACCTAGAAGCACTTGACTGGTGCAGGAATACCAGTATATTAAACCAGAAAAAATGGATACAGCTGTAGTGACAAATAGCATTCCCTCTAAGCTGTATGGTGTGTGCGGCCGCACAGGCACACCTGGCAGCGTGGCATGTGCGCACCTGGATGGCCATGCACGCCACATAGCTTAGAGGGAACGCTAGTGACAAAACTGCCGTTTTTCACCAAGATGGTAAAACCACCCCACCCCAGGTTGAACAAGGTGCATAAGTGAAAGCATAATTTTGCATCAGCATTAGGCTCCAGCCAGCAGAGCTATGTGGGTCAGAGATTGCTTTTCATCGTATCCTGGCCAGTACAGTAAGGCTGGCAGAAGCCCTGCTGATCCTTCATGGTTGATGCTAATTCTTTATAGTTTTTAGGTGTATGGTGTGAAAATAATGAAGTAATCCTTGTTTGTGTTTCCTAGGCAATGCTGTGACTCCTGTTTCAGAGAGAGATAGTGAGCAGTCTCTCTCTCTCGCTGAGAATGGCTGCAAAGTCAGTTTGTTGCCTGTAAAACCTAATCGTCAAATAACCAAAGTTCAGTTGCGATCTCCAAGGATAAAGCCAGTCATTCGCCCTGTTAGTTTGCCTGTGGAGAGAATTCTTCCTCCATGTGTTCTGAATGAGAGAAACTCACGGAACGTAGGTGTTTCAAGCCCAGAAAAGCTTGGCAGGAGTCCTACTATTGAAGAAGTTTCAGAGAGCAAGGCACTTCCTGCCATTAGTGCCTGTTGCAGGCTCTCTTGTTATGACACACAGACTCTGAGGAAAACTTGGGACAAGCAGTATAAACAATATGATATAACTGCGAGGACAGCAATGATCATGACCAACGTGCCCCAAGAGCACCGAGCACCGGAGAGTGGAAGTGCAGGCACTTGCTTTTCAACTTGCAGCACTGGTAATAATTCCACCAGTGCTGTTCCTCCCAGTAAGCCATACAATGTCCCTATCAGATCAGTGAGGGTGACAACAGAAGGGAATGCTCCAGATGCTAATCCTCTTGCTGCTTTCAGGGCACCAAGAACTTTGCAGCCACCACCAGGGACTTTTTATAAGCCTCCTTCCAATTACAAGGCCAAACAAAATGAGGAGGGTTCTGCCACCAGAGTTTGTGCAACCAGTGTGAGCTCTTTGCCTGCCCAGGAGAACACTGTGAAACAAATTAAAAATCCAGCCATTGCCTCAGGTGCTACTGGGCAAAACACAGATCAACAAAAAAATAGCTCAGAGGACATTCAGCAGCCAGACCTGAAACCCCCTTATCAGAGACTGCGACCAAAACGTATACAAGAACTAGAACACAGGGAAGCTCACTTTGTCTAGGGCAGCAAATCTTTGTGGAATGATTTCCTGATTTTTTGTTTTTTGTTTTTTTTGTTTGTTTGTTTGTTTTTGGGGTTTTTTTGTTTTTTTTTCTGGTCAATGCAGATATTTTCCCCCTTTAATCCTGTTCTTGTGCCATATTGGAATTATTTTTTTATATATAGCATTTTAAACGCTGAGGGGAGACTGTGAAGGAAATATGAAGTTGAATTTTTTTTAATTCAGTAGATTTTCATAAGTCTATTTAAATACCTTCCCAATATTGATGCAGCTAATCAGTGCATTTGGTAAGACACTGAACTTCAATTCCCTGAGTGGGATGAAGTACTTATTTATAGAGAGAAACGACTGTTCTTGCATGCAGCAATGAAAGGAGCCATTTTTTCAGTATAAATTATGTAGTAAAGATGAAGGGTTTGATGTTCAACTGTTTAATTAAGCATAAACCAAAGCTTGTGCTTTGCTCTATGAAAGCTTCTGTGTTCAGTTCTCCAATCTGTGCAATTAAAGCTTTGCCCCTAAATAGATTATATAGTGGCCATTGTGGCCTATAATTATGTATCATATGTGTATATTTTATACCATCTTTATTTGCCAGTTTTCTGTATTGTCACTTTAATATTATTTGTACAGAGAAGATGCACTTACTGAGCTTTACTAGTCAAAACCAATAGCAAATTTGCATCCAGTTACCTGTAGTATAACTTAGTAAGTGGGTCTGTGGTACACAGCCTACCTATTTCTGCTGCCCTCCAGAAGAGTACCGATTGCAGTGGTGCTGTCATTCCCTGTTACAAAAAAGCCAGTGCTTTCCCTGCTATAATAGATCAGTTTCACTTCTTGCCCAGTGTAACTGAAATGAAGAATATAGTTTCAAGATACAGTGAAATAGGTGAAAATAACCAAAAATCAGCATTAGTAGGTGCATCTAATAGTTTTCCACTTGGTATTAAATGGTTTTTATATGTACACTTGTATTGGCTTAAAAATATATTAACTTGTTAACATTCCACTGACTCCATGGTGTTTATAACATCTGGATTTCTTCTAACTTATTAAAATACAGACTCTTGGCCTTTACTATGCTTTAGTGTATGGCCTAGTATTTCCAGGTCTCTTGAAAATGAAAAGTGCATTCTTTGGAGAAGAATGCATTTAACTGGATTCTTCACAATACAAATACCGAATGAGGGGCAGTAGCATGAAGCATTTTTAAAGAAGGGAATCGAAAGAACACTGACAGCAAGAAAAGCAAGGAGAGGGGTTTGCTTTGGTTTGGTTTTGTTTGCTTGGTTTTATGTCTAAACTAAAGGTTTTAACAAAGTTTCCTACATTTAAAACAAACCACAGAATAAACCCTGACGCTGCATTTCAGTGGGCGTAGTCTGAACTTAGGTTCCAGAATAGAAATGTTTAAAGGTTTACAGGACTGAACTTCTGATTCACTGTTTTACTACCAAGAAAATGAAACTTCTGTGCTTGCAAAAATCATTCTACCTCTGGGTATTTCTGATGTGTCAGGAAACGTTTCTTTTAATGACAGAGGGCTGAAAATGTGAAGGAGCAACTGGTGTGAGGAGCTGGCCAGTGGCAATCTGTCAGATTCTGGCAAAAGTATTCAGATCAAAAAGGGCAAATGGGAGGAAGGTCAAAGATTCCTTCTAGATACTGTGTAAGAGTCATTCCATTTCAAAAGAGGGAGAAATTCACTTGATCAATGGGCAGGAATAAGCATTAATAAATAAATACAACAGTCTGAACGTAGGAGAGAGCCAGTGTAAGGAAGGCAACAGAAATACCATGTACATGCTTGCTAGATAGAAACAGCAATGCAATTGCCATTAAATTTCTATTCTGTTCCACTTGGTTTGGTTTGGTTTGGTTTGGTTTGGTTTGGTTTGGTTTCCTTGGGGACTATTTTACCCTGGTTAATGTACTGACAAACCGTCAAAAATTGTTGGCAATTCCAGTCTGCCTCTGATAATTCATATCAGGTGCTTCTGAGCTGTGAAACTGTTCTAATGGACACATGCCAGTAGTACACAAAGAAGGCCTACAGACTCCTGGCATACACCTTATGCTTGCAAGATTAGAGGACATTCTGTTGCTGGTCAAGTTCAGTGTGTGTGTGTCAACTCTATTAATATTTCTTTGAACAGCAAAAGCTTTTATTCTATGAACGAATATAAAGTCTGTGCTACATTCCTCCCCAGGGGCATAAACGAGTAAATCAAAGTCTATCTAGATTTCTGTCCTCAGATTGACATGCTGCACCACTAATACCAATTTACTAGGGCTTAGGGCTGACTAAATGAAGTTGATTTATGGCCTGTCACTTTGACTTCAGCAGTGTTTTGGTTTTAGAACATTTTGCTTAAATGTAATAAGAGGTTTGCCAAACAGGAGAGTATTTTCATTTAAAAAAATCTTTGATTGTTTTTGGAGAGCTAAAAATACCCACTTTAATTTTAAATATACCCTCAATTTTTTCCATTAAAAATGTGCATTTGAACAACAAAAAAAAGATAATGTGGCTTTGGGACTTATTTAAAAATAGCTGCAGGCCTTGTCAATTGAAGCTTTCTTTTTATTCTGAAGACTTTTTTTGAGTGTCTAGAAATAAGTGCAGTTAAGCCAGAGAAACAACGTAGGAGGCCACTGCTGCAGCCTCAAAAGAAACTCAACCTTTTGCATGTGGTAGCTACTGGAAAAATGAACTAATTACCTAGAAATGTGGGGTTTCAAGTGTGCCATTTCTAGCAGAGACAGACATTGTCTTATGAGGAAGGATCTTAACATTCTTTTATTATTTACTTGTAAAGGAAAACCCCAAGTTTCTAGCTGTCCATTAGAAGTGTGGAAATCTATGGAGAGAACAAGAAGCTGCCAATGACTTCTGCGTCAGAAGTCTTGGCAGGGACTTAAATAGCCACATCAATTTTGCAGCTGAAATGGGCCATGTTATTGAAGATGTCTCTTGCTTTGTTTCTATCATGGCAGCAGTGTCTCTCATCCCAGAGAGCCGGAGCCCATGCTGCACACCTGAATCTGCTGACCCACTCCAGATCCAGAGTTAACAGTAAGCTCCAGCAGGTCCTGCAAGCAGGTACTAGGGAAAAGTCCAAGACAGTGTTGGTCACCAACCAGTCTATCTCGATCGTCTGGTTGATTGTGGAGCCTCTGGCTGTCTATCTCGTCTGTCAGAGGCTTAATGATCAGGAGCGGCACGATGCACGTGGCTGGGCTGAGCCATGCCTCCTGCCGCCTGGGCTGGGCTGGGTGAGTGGGGTCAGCCCAGGCAGCTTGTCTGCAGGGTGGGGGTGGTAGATCCTGGGGTGCCCTTTACTTACAAAAAGTGATCTTCAACCTTAAAAGGTTGGAGGCTACTGGTCCAGGAGAACCTCATAGGCAAACCTTGAGTTCCAGAACAGGTCAGTGCAGTCACATGGGTGGGGCTTGCTCAGGCTCTTTATATTCCTCAGACTAGCTTTGTGCTGTGGGTTATTACATGGGCAATTAGGAAACGGGGGGG